TGGCAACCTGGACCGATGCACATATGTGCCTGGTCCTACGTTGTAGCTGACTGACTGACTGATTTGGGTAGATTGTATAAAGATATATTCGATGCGAAAAAGAAGACGTTACATGATCTGACCACGTCTGTATGACTGACCTTTACCTTACAGTCCAAGCATTCCTGCGTTCACCGTTTCAGCTTCAGTTTGGAAAAGACAGTAGGCTGGATTGTCTCTATTTGTCCTGGTAATGGTGGTCTCTCAGTTGGTTTAACCTTCTCTGAAGTCCTTTGTCTGATGGAGGTTCAATCATTTGTTAGAGTGATGAATTCTATTCGTTCATAATTCGAGGAAAAAGTTAAAAGGCAGCTGACAAGTGATTTGTCCTGAGCTTTTGAATTTTTTAGTGTTCCAAGTTCTTTGTTTTGGAAGACCAGAAAGGCGAGGGCATATAGTTTGTAAAGTTATCATTATATAATTAAAATATGAGATCTCGTCACCTCTAGTTCTTTTACATGACAAGTGAAATAGGTTTATTTTAACCAGTTTATCATCATACAAAAACATCACGATTTCTGAAATCAGTTCATTTTTGATTTTATGAACCTTTCATAAGAGCGTACTGCCTCATATTTGACAGAGGTTAGCATCTTGTATGCATTGTTTGATTTTCGGATGAACTAAATCTTTATACAAAGGTGACAGGTTATCAACACTGACATGACTAAATGCTCAGCGTATGGGCCTTAGCATTCGAAGAGTTTTGCCGGCTACTGCAGGGTAGTGTGCAATTGTTTTCAAGCCTTGGTTAACAATGACTCCTATGTCATTTTGTATTTGGACAACAGGTAGCTCAATGTTGTTCACTGTGTATGTATCCGTACCTTGACAGTCGATATGCAAAATAATGCACCTGAAAGTATTTATCCGCAACTGCTGAAGTTCAGACAAGTCAAATAGTTTCTCCAGGTCACTTTGAAGCCCTTATCTTTCACCTTCACGTTTTATTACTCTATATCTATGTCCATAACTAACCAATCAAGGCGTTGTTTATGCACCTACCACGTCAACGTTGTCTGATATGTCCGTCGACTATCCTTGTTGCTTGTGACCTACCATTAAAAGGACATCGTTATACTACTATATTATTGTGACTCATGATTTTTATTCACTTCAATAAGACACGCAATACTGGCCGGCATATTTATGCATTCCACTTAACGACCATAATTCATTTGATTATTGAACTAATCGAAATGTTTTTACGTCCAGAAACAGATATGATTTAAAAACAAGCCGTTCTTGTTCTGACTATAGCTTTCACATAGACTGATATCGTTAGTATCGCATTTACAGTTCTAGTACAATATCTGTAGGATATATTAAATCATAAACTGGTCGAAAATGTACCAAGTACCAGCTACAAGTTCTTTTTTGCTCTTTGTTGATGTACAATTGGGAACTCCTTCATCCGTATAAATAAGTCGCCTCCAATCCCGACACCTCTTAACTTAGATAGCAGTCAATTGTGAGGATCTTTGTCAAAACTCTTAGTGAAGTCAATGTAGGCTACATCTGCAAGTAAATTTTAGTATTTAAGAGAGCAACAACTTTCACGGACTACCAGTAACTTAGTGAGACGTGAATAATTTGATATAGGGCCATGTCACCTTTCATGAAGGATATGGATTTCGTCTATATTCTTAGCCAACTCCTTCCGAATAAACGTTTTTAAACTTTTAAAAACCATTTTGATTAGCTTACAGATCGACTGTTTTCGGGTTTGTGTCTTGTTCCCGTTTTGAAGACTGAACTTACTGAGGCGTTCTTCAGTCCGTTGGCAATCCACCTTTGGTTGCAGACAGATCAAGGCATGCAATTAACGGATTTGCGATAAATTTTTCTCGTTGATTTACCATTCTCCAACCGAACTGTCTGACACGGTGTAACCCAATATAACTATTGTTCCAGTCATATTTATTTATTTATTTATTATTATTAGCTTTATTCAATATCATAATTTTGGTACAATATAGAATTCTCAGCGCAAAGTATTTCAACAAGTTTCCGTTTCTTTCTTCTTGGTCGGTCCTGGCGATAAATATTGAGGGATCGCCAGTTAGATGTTAGCACTTCAGTGAATGAACAATTGAATAATGTACATTCTTTTCGTTATATGTTGCCAGCAACCATATTGTCTCTTATTGAGTTTTCTGTAACTTTGACAACGAAAGGTTGTACACTTTTCAGAAACGCAGCAGAGTAGGTTATGCGATTAATAAACATAATGATATATGAAGACAAACAACAATAGATAACTTGTTGAAATATCTAGATGGCAGGAACAGGTAGCCCAGATGCTCAAGCAGGCCGCCCGATCAATAGGTACCATGACGCACTGTCATATGGTTAGGATTAAATCAGAAACAAGCCGATCGATGAAATGCCATTATGTGGTGGTTCCATTTTAGTCTGTATATACAATATGCTTGTAGATCACTAACGTATGTGATCCGTGACGAATGGTTGTGGGCCTACACGAGTTAGACGGTAATGGTTTGATCAACCAGCTAACGTCAAAGTCACGCCTTGCGGTTAGGACCAAACATGGATTAGTCTTTCGTTGTATACATGTATTATGACTGTTTTGATGAACACACAACACAAACGGCGTTGTTACAGAAATATCGTAGTAAGAGTAGCTACAAAAAATGGCTGGGACCATCATCGCATAGGCCAGTTCGCGACGTTCCCCTGACCTCGCCTGGTACACAGACCTCACTTGTGGATGATGGTGAAGATGGTCGACAAAAATTAAGAAAGAAAACCAGGACAGAGGTTAGGAAAATCTGCTAGTCGAAACACGAAGTTATGGTAGAGTTTCAAATGCTTCGCGCAGACCAAATTACTACGTTCTACTACCATATTCTGTTGTGATATCTTTATAGAGCCCAAAATCATGGCGATCATTTAGGGTACCATGGATTACTTTCCTTGTCAATAAGTATACGCTACGTTTATTGTTACAAATACTTGTCCTAACCACGCCGAGATACCAGCCATAAAATCTGCATATGTGACTGGGGAAACTGTTCACCCATTGATAACTAACCTCAAACCTTTAAGATACCGGGACCTGACGGGTTACATCCACGGCTTCTGTCATCTCTCGCGACACCCTTATATATGTCCCTTTCACTCTCCCAACTACCTAGAGATTGAAAAGACGCTATATTCAGTCTTATATTTAGGGATGGTCAGAGACAGATCGTATCTAACCACCCACCTGTCAGTTTAACCAGCATGGTCGTTAAGTTACTGGAAAAGATAATTCGGGTTAAGTTGTTAAGTCAAACAGATTCACACAATCTGTTAGTTCCTGAGCAACATAGGTTTCGTAAAAAGCGTTCATGCTTAACTAACCTACTTATTGCGAGAGGGGATTAGACTGCAGCCTTAAATAATGGTCGGTCTGTCGATGTGATATTCATAGATTTTAGCAAAGCATTTGACAAGGTTTCACACTTAGGTTTTATACAGAAGCTCTCAAACTTCGGAATAATAGGTTCTGTTCAGGAGTGGATAGGAAACTTCTTGTGTGACCGTATACAGAGAGTGAGGGTCAATGGAGCGCTATCCGACCGGAATCTGGTCAAAAGTGGTGTATCCCAAGGCACCACCTTAGGCCCCCTGCTCTTCCTTCTCTACGTTAACGAGTTATCGCTGTTGCTTAGGTCATTGTTATTATTGTTTGCAGATAAAGGATACCAACTCACTTGAGCGTTTCCAGAGTGTGGGGAAAAAATTAGTTAAGGGTCTTTCTAAAATCCCATATGATGAATGTTTAAAACGCCTAAAACTTTTCCCCTTGTTGTATTGTAGGACACGAGGTGACATTATACTGGCATTTCGTATCTTTAATTATGATTTGGGTGTTAATATGTCTTATCTTTTTGCTCCCTCCAGCACTAATAATCTCCGAGGTCATAACAAGAAGGTTCGCAAACTGCAATCTAACAAACTTAATGTGGGATCCCGTTTTTCTCATCGAGTAGTCAGTGACTGGAACATCTTACTCAAACAAGTGGTATTAGCCCCATCAGTGAATATTTTAAAAGAAAAGCAGGACCTTCACTGGAAGGCAATCTGTCAGGATTAACACAGGTTCACCAACCTACCATCCTTAATACTTAAGACTGTCAGCGCAAATTTTGTTGCTTACGGTACATCCAGTACTTCTGAATCTTTGTGCAAACTAGTCGAAACCATATCTGTTTTTTTAAAATTTGGCGTTACTTGTATAAAATGTTGTATCCAAAATAAAACTAAGTTTTTTCTGGTTGAAATTGTAATTTTTATACATCATTCAATAGCACTCATCTTTCCAGGCGTATGTGACTGTTTATATGTACCTTGTTGGCAGCATTTTCTCGCCTGACCAATAAATTGAGATTTCTGAAAGCTTAAAATTCCATGGAAAACTTATTTATGATTGTCGTTCACATATAATAAGTTGGAAAACCTGTTTTCCTGATGAGATTTCTTACTAGCAATAATTATTCTGGTATAGGTGGGAAATCGGAAACATCTAGCAACGTTTGGTTGTTAGTTTAGGTTCTTCAGATACTTTTTGTGTGTACATACCCGGACTCCTAAACAGGACTAAGCCAGTCACTGTAAAGTTAAACAAGTTAACAAAAACTTTAGTTCATGCGTGACACTATAACACATCAAATCAAAAAATCTACCAAGTAATGTTTTCGCGTTGTTTCACCGCATCTCCACGAAGCCTATGCTGATGCAACGAGATAAGGATATGCTGCTTATAATGGCTGGGATAACTAAGAACAGGAGTCATGGAATCTTCAATTGGTCCTGTACCTTACCATTAGATAGACAGTTAAAATAATATCAATCTAATATCTTATTTTCATGTCGTTCGTTTTAGAGACTTCATGGTCAACGATTTTTAAAATGAGGACATAACCATCGTAAATCGCGTTGCTATATAGTGTGTCATGGCACGAAGTTTTTGGCGCAGTTCAAACTAGTAAGTCTTGCTATTCTCTGTTAGCTCATCAGACTTAACTCCTTTATTATTAAGTAATTAGCACATTACCGCTTATTTTCTGTATTTGACTTATTACATACGTCAAATCAGTATATCCTACTGCCTGACAACACTATCTTTAACAGATATTTCTAGATGATATAAGCTGCATTTAATGGAGATGCAAATAAGGATACCATGAGAATGTCCATTAAAATGTTGTAAGTTGCAATATGTTACTCGATCGCCTAATTGGATGATATAGCAGTGATTGGTGATTAGAGTTAAACTAAACAACTCATACTTCATCGTTTGAATGGAAGCTACTCTTTTATATACTTCAACAGTTCTCATTCGATAAATTTACATTGGATTAAGGGAGAATGCAAACAAAAGCCCTTACACATTGCTTACTTTCAACAACCACGTCTCCTAGTTGTACATTGCAAAATGGGTTATATAGAGAAGTTACCTAATTACAGGAAAAGTAGTTTGTATTCATATATCGCTACACTTTTGTTTCATAGTATCTTCCCTATTCATACTTATTCTTTAATTTACAGTTTAGAGTGGTTATTGGATCGTCAAGATGTAATGATACATAGAGCGAATGATTTAAAAATTCTTGGTAGCGAAGAAGAATATCAGAAAGTAATGCTTTTCTTTACTGATGGTATGTTATGCTTTAAACCTCATAAATTTCTGGCACCGTTATCACCACTTTCATTTTCATTTAAAAATTGTCTTTCCATCTTTATAGTCATTCAAGCATTTGGCAAAAGCGTTGAAGTCCGTCAACAAGTAATTGCAACCGCTTTAGTATATTTCAAAAGATTTTACAGTCGGTAGGTTGCATATGAGAGGATATTATCTGTAACAATAAAGCAATTCATTTAAGACTATCGACCCATGGTTAATGGCTCCATCGTGTCTGTTTTTAGCATCTAAAGTTGAGGTTGGTTTGCTTATTCTAAAAAAATTATGTCGAACAAATCTTTACCGATTTTAGGAATTTGGTGTAGTTTCTCAAAAAAATCTAATGACATCATGTCGTAATGTGGGTAAGTTCTGTTTTTTAAAACTATTAATTCGGTCAATCCTAGTTCATAGTCATTATTTAATCTATTTTCCTGATGGTTACGGTTATCCATATCGTGCTCAAGATGTATTGGAATGTGAATTTATTTTACTTGAAGCAATGGTGAGAAGATTGTTTTGGTTAATTTGTGATATTAAAAAAATGGGGGTGATGTCATTTTATTGTCGAAAATAATTCGTGGAAAAATATTGGTCATGAGGGTTGGAGAGTTGGGACTATTTTTTATATTCACATCCTACCAATAATAAAATAAATTAAGTACGACCATAACAGAGAGATTATCCTTGGTTCTATCAATCGTGGTTTGATATATAGTCATGAGCTGTGTAAAGCTTTGACTGATAAGGTACAGTATTCCTGGAAGTGGTAGATGGTATTTATGGAGCCGTTAAGCTTTTCTTTGCGTCTTTGAGGGAGATAATTATAAGCACTAAATCTTAGTGTAAGCTTTTTGCCCACTTGCATTCCACATCAAGCAGTAATACATTTTCTGTTTTAGTCATAATTGAATTCTGAAGTTCTCTAAATATTTTATTTTCAGGATTGTTCATTAGTCGTCTTTCATCCTTATCGTCCGTTGGTACAGTTTTGTGATGAACTTCGCCCTCAAATGCATGAGTATGCTGACGTACTGTTAGAGCGTGCTTGGTAAGTCGTTTCCTGTAAACCTTCGTACAGAACATTTTAAGTTATTAAACAAACACACCGAAGGTCTATATGCTATTTGTCTCAACCAAAAACTTTATGTATTTCTTGCAAATTATGTCTGTATGTTATGGTCAGTGTTGCTTGTAGAGTACTAATCTGGACACTTCGGGTTCATACAGTTTAGTCTCAGTTTAGAATCCAAGTGATCGTATAGTACTTTTTGAGAAAATGCACGATAATGTCTGCAGCTCATCAAATCAGTAGTAATAATTTTATCTTATACGCGAGTATCGGTAATCGAGGATTTTCATTATCGAAATTGTCCTCGTTTACTGATGATCAGTCCAATTATCTTATTTCCACTTAGTTACTTTGATCACTGAAGAAGTCGAAAATCCACATTCTATATCCGAACAACAGTTAATCATCATTGGATATCAGCACTCTACTAATTCAGGAGATTGCACAAAATTGTCACAACTCACCAACTCAGTCGTTTATAAGTAACATAACGACCTGGTACACATGTAGGTCAGCCTAATCTGTTCATATGATAAGCTACTATTCACAAATCCAGCTTTAATACAGTGAATGCGACTATTGATATCATCATCTTCACTGCCTCACTAACTAGAGTAAGTAGTCGAGTTGTTGTTTAGAAGCTTGTTGATCCAAGAACCAGTAAAACCCAAAATAAATTTATGATATCAGATGGGTTTTGTGGAGATTGTAGTAATTTCAATGGTTAAGATCATGAGTCAGTTGAAGCTAGACCACCTTGGAAAATCTGGAAGCACTGGACGGCCGTCTATCGATTATGATTATCACAGTTTACGATTCGAATAATTGTCAATGAACACAAATCAGTGAGGAACGTATTGAAAGTCTATAAACAGAATTTACACTTAACTATTTAATGTAACAAGAATTCATCTTAAATCGATATTGATTTTCTTTCTATGTTGTATTTAAGGATTCCATACCCCCAACATGTCTGAAGTTACCATACCACATCAGTACAGCAAGATAAAATAGTAGCAGTAGTACCAGTGATAGTAAGAAAGATCTGACATCGAGGATATAATCCGAGAAAAAAAGAGAAAATGCAAGGAAATAATAGGTACCATCTCTACATAACGTATCCTCCATACAGTGATTCTTTGTTCTTAATGCTCATTATCATACATTCCTGTCTTTACTGTTTGATGCGTATGGCTAAATCAACTGCAAAAGAGAAAATAACCAACAACACTGACCTTCAGAATAAGAGGAGCTTCGAAAAACTCAAAGCGATTGTCGAACACTGTTTACACACTTTGGTACAAGACTTGCAGTCATCATACCTTTATTGAGTTAACCGTTCCATTTATTCATAATTATGATTCCATAGTCTGTACATATGATTCCACACTACTTTGTCAAATTTGGGATCCCATTACATGTTTCGGAAACTCATATTTATTAATGAATTATTTCACTTTACCACTACTCTTAAGATATTTCTAACTATCTTAGGATCTTTTGAAACCTTAGGACTATTGGGTAACTGGATTTTTCTAATTCGTACATCTTAGATGAACTCACAAATCAATCAATTAATTGTATACTTTTTTTAAATATGCTGCAAATGATTACAATATATTTTCGATCATCTTTTTTTGTCGATATATGTAAAGGTGGCTAGTAAATGATAGTTTTCGAACAGACGTGTGCCTGCATTATCCTCCCTATATAATTGCTCTAGGTATGTTCTTTTTTTACCATATGTATTATTAAGTCCTTATTTCTCTTAGATTCTAATGAGCTTTATGTAAAATCCGACTGGCTACTTTATTTCATTTCATTTAAAGTATTAAAGTTTCTGAACAACTGGCCACTACAGTAATCATTACTAATTGAGTGAGTGCCCGAGCCTTTAACTACAAGATCTCATCCCCAAGGTAGTGGATTAGCACCAAGTGATGCGATCTCTCGATAGCCAATGACCAGAGTAGATTCATACTCCATTTGTTCTTTGAGGACCTTGAAGCCTGTATGCATTAGTGAGTTTCGCAACCCCCTAGATAGGTCTCTCAAATCCATCAACTCGGTTTAATTTACTGATGCCCACTTTTTCTCATCATTATGGTAAAAATACCTTCGTCATGAGACGCTAATGATTAAAGGTTTCATGAAAGAGTCTACAGACACAAGACCCTATGAAAGCACTTCGAAAACTAGGACAAACTACTCACTTTCAACTGTAACATTGCATTGTAAAGCATTCCTTTGCGTAATAAATTAGTTTTTTGTGACAGTTATGTAGGGTCTTTTATGTCAAAATTTATCTTATAATTCATTCATGCCACGTTTTTAACATTTCATTGTATGCTATCAGTTTGTATACTAATGATAACACACTGCTTGTTAAATATTTTTTTTTATTCTGTTGTGTATGTAATCTGTAATATAAAGAACTGTAAAATTATTCTTATAAGACTTATGCGTCCTCTCTAATAATCACTATTTCACGTTTTTACCAATTTTATCTGAAAAAACCTAGAAGTCACTTTCTTTCTGGAAGTATTAACTTACGTTTATTTTTATTACCTAATTATTCCTGTCAACCCAACCATGCCCATAAACTATTATGCACTCGATACTAATTTTCAGAATATATTATTATTCAAAACAAAACACAGGTTGTCTACAACTGGCTGTTGTGATTATTTCAAGTAATCCTGACCTATTAATCGGCTCCGTCAATATCAGTTCATCATCATTTATGAATTCCAGTCTATCTATTTCATCAAATAAGCATGGTTATTTTGGGCACCAAACCCAATCAACTGTCAATCCTTCATTAGTTGCTGATCGTTGGTTCAGTGAATTAAATGTAGATATGGAAAGAGTGAGCATAAACTTATTTTTGTTTATTTGAATGATTGTGTGCTGTTGTTTCTTTGCAATAAGTAAATATTTTTGGTAGATGGATTTTGTTTCTGAGGTAAAAGGGATTTTATCATCGGCTCAACATTACGTGGGGTCTTGTTGACCTTTCTAATTATGAATCCTTTTATTTTATCCAGTGTGCTCGCTTGTTATTCAAGACAGAGAGATAGTTTAATACATCGCCGAAGTACCTTATGCTGGATAATTTGTATTTATTTTGTTGACCATTCTACTAACAGCATCTGCAGACGAATCAGAACTGACAGCACTTTAGAGTGGAACCAGAAAAATGCCGTGCCACAAAGGCACCACAACGTGTTTAAAGAAGAATTGGGAGAATGTACGAGGGCCAAAGCATTGTTAACCCTAAAACCTGCAGCTATTTCCGTCTTTCGACCCTAAAGACCTGTACCATATGCTGCTCTTCGAATAGTTGAACAAGAACTACAACGACTTCAGGAAGTGGGTGTTATCGAATCTGTGAATCTCTCGAACTGGGCTGCACCAATAGTGGTTGTCAAGAAGTCGAATGGAAGCGTCCGTCTATGTGCAGACTACTCTACCGGATTAAATGAAGCTCTAGAGTCTCACCAGTATCCGTTACCCTTACCAGAAGGTCTTTTCGCCAAGCTGAACGTTGGCAGATATTTTGGGAAATCGGACTTATCAGACGCGTATCTACAAATCCCGGTATCTGATGAAAAAAAATCTGACGATCAACACACACAAAGGTCTGTTCCGGTATAATCGACTACCTTTTGGGGTGAAGACGGCTCCCTCTATTTTCCAGCAAATTATGGTTACTGTGTCACAAGGTATTCCAGGGGCAGCAGCTTATTTAGACGATATCACAATTATGGCAGCAGACAAAATGGAACTGCAGAAGAAACTAGACCAGGTAGTAGAACGCATAGCCGATTATGGTTTTTACCTCCGAGCGGAAAAGTGTGACTTCTATATGCAGCAAGTACGGTACCTTGGGTTCATAATAGATAAAGGTGGGAGACGACCAGATCCAGAGAACATTGAAGCTGTGAGAACAATGCCTAGACCTAGGGACATTCCTACCCTACAATCGTCCTTGGGACTGGTCAGCCATTATGGTACCTTCCTCCCCAAACTCCATCTTCTACGTGCTCCACTAAACCACCTACTACAAAAGAGTACAAGATGGACTTGGTCTGCAGTCTGTCAAGCATCTTTCGAGAAAATCAAGCAACTTCTAACTTCCAATCTCTTATTGACGCATTATGATCCTTCGCTACCAATAGTCGTTGCCTCAGATGCTTCTAACTATGGTGTGTGCGCAGTTATCACTCACATTTTTCCTAATGGGTCTGAAAAGGCTATCTCCCACGCTGCCAGATCTTTGACAACGACCGAAAGGAACTATAGTCAAATCGAGAAAGAAGCCCTATCAATTATCTTTGCAGTGAAAAAGTTCCACAAGATGATATATGGTCGAAATTTTACCCTGATAACAGACCATAAGCCACTACTTGCAGTTTTGGGGTCAAAGAAAGGAATTCCTGTTCATACAGCTAACCGACTTCAACGATGGGCAACCACACTTCTGGGTTACGATTTCAAGATCATTTATCAGTCTACTACCGCCTTCGGGCAAGCTGACGCATTATAAAGATCAATAGGCTCCCAATAAAAAATCGCAGAGAAGACTTGTAGCAAATATAAAAACTGAGAAAGAAGTTCATCGCGTATTGGATGACGCAATCAATGGACTCCCAGTAACCTTTAAAAATATCAAGAAGATCACTGAATGTGATAAGACATTGAGCACAGTCAAATGCTATCTCTCGATCAAATGGACAAACAATCGCCTCGACGGAAAACTTTTGCAATATTTTCGTCGACGGGACTCACTAATGGTTATCGACTCATGTATTATGTCCGGTGATCGAATTGCTGTTCCGAAGTTATTACGTCACAGTGGCCATCCTGGAATCAATAAAATGAAATCGTTGGCTCGTAGTTATGCTTATTGGCCGTGAATGGACAAAGACATCGAGAATAAATGCCGTAACTGTCCATCATGCGTTCAAGCTGTTAAAAATCATTTGAAATGTGAACCTCAGTATTGGCCAATGCTTGCAGGACCCTGGGTAAGACTTCACGCAGATTTTGCTGGTCCAATCTAAGGGAAAATGTTTCTAATTATTGTGGATGCATTTGCTAAGTGGCCAGAGGTATATACCATGCTTAATTGTACGACATCAGAAACAGTTCACAAGTTGTCTACCTTGTTTAGCTGCTACGGAGTTCCAGAGACCTTAGTAACTGATAATAGCTCGCGATTCATCGCAGAATCGTTTACGCATTTCTGCAGCGCAAATGAAATAACTCATCTTTGTTCTCCGCCCTATCATCCGCAATCGAACCGACAAGCAGAACGTTTTGTCGACACTTTTAAACGAGCATTACTGAAAGGGAGAGGCGAAGGGACAACTGGACAGATAATCACAAAATTTTTAACACCCTACAGAACCACTCCGAACCCAAATGTTCCAGATGGTAAGTCTCCTGCTGAAGCCATGTTCGGAAGGCGTATTCGGACCGTTTTCAACGCCATGTTGCCATTCAATTAGTAGATGAGCACAGTTACAATCCAAATATCCGGAGCTTTAATGTTGGCGACGAAGTTTTCATTAAATACTACCTCGGGAAGAACCGATGGGAGCCGGGGAAAGTTGTACAAAAATTGGGAAAAGTTTTGTACAGAGTCCGAGGAACTTTTGGAACATATATACGACATACGAATCAGATCCATAAAGACAAAAGAACGATGCAGACTCAAAATAACCAGCCGAATCTTCCGTTAGAGTTAATCTTAGACACATCGACTTTACATATGCCCAAGGACACTGAAAAGAAGCTTCGGTCAAGGAAGACACCGTCGGAAACCAGTTGTCAAGCCACAAGTGGATCCTAGAAAGAAATCTTATTCGGGGAGGTGTTAAGTCGGCTCCCGAGAACTACAACGGAGCCTCCAGAGGCCCTAATTGAGCCGAAGAGTTTCAGCCAATCAGAGCACGAGGGAGCTTTCTAGAATATCAACGTGGTATGCTACTATTGGTCAGTAGCATAAAATGTCTTTTAGCGGATTGGCCAAAATATAAACTACCTTGGTTGGTTTGATAATTTCGTATATGCATATAAATATTACTGTATATTAGAGTAAAGCCTGATGAGGATCCAATCGAAAACAATATTGTTCGCTTATATATGTTGTTCTAAATTTACAATATGGGAATATTTCGAATTTTAATGTTGATTTGACAAATGCTAATAATCTATAAATACCCGGGTTTTTTTTGTACAAGAAGGAACCTTCGGAGTAAAGTGCTTTTCGCTTAATTTGCGCCTTTTCTCGCGTGTTCAGGTCGCTGCGTAGTTCTAGCTTGCGGGTTACCAGAATAGCTTAGGAACCGAATAAAGCGTTCAAATTAGCAAGACTTATCACAATGAAAACTATAAAACATATATGTCATCTTAATCCAACTTATTACATTAGTCAGGTGAAGTTGATTTTGTGAGCAAAACTTCATATATACACTGATAACTGATCTCTCAGCAGACATGTAATGATAACCATGATTTTGAGTTTAGGCCGATTGATCAGTGGTTAAAGTGCTCGACTTTCAACTACTAGGTTGAAATTCATTGCACTTCTGTCTAAATAACCACCTAGTGTCATTTAAAAAAATGAGAAATCAGTTGATGAGGTAGCGAACGTTCATATGTACCAAGTATCCCCAATAACTGCCTATTTGGACGCACGATGATGACTGTTGTATGAGTAGGTTCGACGAAATCTATAGGCAGTAAAGCCAAGAAATGCCATCGGTCCATGAAGTCATTTACTGTTGGGTCGAGCCGTGTTAGTGGGTGCAGTTTACCTATTTGGGGTCCTTGTAATCATCCTAACTAGTGGTTGGAGACGACGAATGTTGTCGCTCAAAATTGGTCGTAATGGGGCAAATCTGCTTACTCCTCGTTTTTCCTTGGTTCTTTCATTCTCGAATCACATGTAAGCGACTACTGCTGCTACTCGTCTTCATAATTTCATCCCGCTGTGCTGACATGATATGGCAATTTGGACAGATGCACATATGTGCCATGTTCTACATTGTTTATGACTGACTATTGTCATTAGCATTTACTTAAAATGTAGTTGGAAGCCAAGTGCATTTAATTACCGAATTATATATATATATATATATATATATATATATATATATATATATATATATATATCGGAGTAATGGTCTTGTTGTGGACCCATCATTGAAATAAAGAATTGTATATTTTATCCATATTTTACAAATTCCAACCTTACAATCGTATTGTTTAGAAATTTTATTAGCATCTGAAAATTTATAAATTTCTTCCACTTGTGGTTCAAGTCATTGTTGATCAACCAAATGTGGTTCTTGGTAGACTCGGGATGTGATTTCCGTCCTATTTAAGACCTCTACCTTCATACTCGTTGAACAAGTCAGTGGCTATCTCAATCCAGTTTCTCAGTGAACAGCCCAGTAGCGTTTGCATCAAGAGGTACTAGTTTCAAGTCTCAGTGTGAACATCAGCATTCAGATACATGCAGACAAGTGCCGAATAGGATGAGATTCATGTCCTGAATCTTACTTTCATATACATACCAAATAATTGAATATTGTTGGCAAAAAAACACATCATGTAATCCGCACAACGTTCTCTCTATGTTTATGTACTGACTTTCCAACTAAAAAGCAGTTTTGATGGGAATGGTTTTCTTTTCGGTAATGGAGCTCATACTCGTGGTTGTGACATTGTAATATTCTACAGTCAAAAGTTAAACAAAAAATAATGAGATTGAGATATTTTTTTTGCTTAAAATAGATTTGTTTATCATGATTAGATCCAAGCACTTGTTGGAATGTTTCTCTATTATTATTTGATTTTACTTTATGAAATTGTTGGCATTATCAGCGCTCAAACTCAGCTACTAATGAATACTTCTAGTATTTGGCAAATTAAGTTAGACAATGGAAGGAGACAAACTATGCTTAATGTTGTATTATTGAGTAATAAGTAGTATATATTTTTAGAATTACCAAAACAGCTCATCTGAGGTCGAATAAAATGGAAAAAAATCATCTTGGCTTCTCAGTATTTTTAAATTCTACAACAGATAATAATTAGTTTGTGTTTAACTCTTATTCAAGGTCACGAGCCCGAAATTAACAATCAAATCTCAACTCATACATGCACGAAAATCGGCTCAATGTGACTGGACAGGATAACTAGTAAAAAAATAGTCAGCTTAAGATTAACCAGTAAAATTCAACAAAGGGAACAAAATCTAATTAATTATAAGTAGTATTGTTTTAGTTCAGAGATTCCACTGTCACAACTGATCGGTATTTCAGATTGATATCATGAACAGACCGATGTTGGACCACCAGTGAAAACCTGGAAACACTAGACACCCGTTTCGTCCCGACATGGGACTCCTCAGCGGTGCTCATTCGCGATCCTGCGCGCGGGACTCGAACTCAGGACCGTCGGTCTCACGCGAAAGCTTATCCTTTAGACCACTGAGCCGGCATCCAACGGTGTCATTCGCTGATACCAATCTAAGCTCAACAATCTCCACAACCCCTTACTGATAATTATCGGTATTTCTAGGTAGTCAAAATTATTAAGATTGTCAGCGTAAAAAATGACTTGTCCTAGCAAATAATTCGGTTGTCCACTGTAAATTTTTTTCACATCTACAATTTTATTGATTTACCATGAAATCTTGATGTGGTATTCCACTCCAAAAAGTTCTATTCTCCAGGTTCTCTCCGTCTTTTAAAAGCAGCTACTTTGTATCATATCGATGAGTTGTGTCCCATTCAATCTGACTTTTATTGTTTATCTTCTTTCCCTCACCAAGATGATTTGATTCTATAATATTACTGTGTAATACTGTTTCATATTACTTTAGGTGTTGGAAATTTCTCGTCATCTACTTAGTTTGTATGATTTATGGCGTCGTTTTGATGAACTTGCTGAAATGCCTAACATATTATTAAAAAAACTTCCACGTCCTGTCATTCAATCGCCACATACTTCACAAAATTACCAATCTGGCAATTCTGTCAATCCAACGGGTTGTAATAGTACTTCTGCAACTCAATCATCTAATCTATCTAGTGGGACACAACAACAAACTCATGGTGGATCAATGGTTGTTCCATCGGGTACAGGTGCTGTTGGTACAGGAAGTAGTAGTGGTGCTACGGGGACTGTTGGTAGTATACATAATATGCCGGATCACCAAACTCAACAACAACAAAGATCAATGACGTCATCTAGCCAGCCACGTATGCATCCACAAGGTGGTGGAATGCAGCATATGGGAGTCAGGTAGACGGATAAGAACAAAGCGATTATGGCTGCATATCTGTATAAAACTTTGGAAGTATATACTTATATATATTCAGTCCTATATACACAAATAATATATATTCCCTGGTTTATTTCTGCTGAATGTATTTGTGTGGGTTAACCAAAGCTTTCACGTATTAATTTTGAACGAACATGTCGTTTTAGCAATGTAGCAGTATATCAGGTCAGCTGGAATAAATACTTTTCAGTATATGATCGTGTAGATTATTGAATTTCATTGAAAACATGATCCGGCTTAAGTTATTTTGTGTATTCACTGATCTTAACTACTTATAAGTAGTAGGTTTATCACTCGAAAAGGTTTCTTCGATTTCATCTGTAGTGGTATGAGTTTTAATGAATACACAATTACGATGTCAATTTGTGATGAATAATTTATGATTTCGCTAAAAAACAAATTCTGGCCATCATATCAAGGTTGATAAAGGTCTGCCAATGAATAAGCATTTTTTAACCAGGTTGGTATGATATTTCACTATGCATAAAATAATCTGAAATTTTTTTCAAGCTTAATATAAAGGCGATCACTTTCTGATGAATTTTTTATATAGAGTTAAGTCTGAACAGGTATTCTTATTTTAGTAGGTTATGGGAGAAATAAAACAGTAACAAATTATCAATGTAACGGTGAATCACCTAGTTAAATAAGTAAAGAATGTAGCGAAAATTTCTACAATCAACATTATTTAATTTTGTAAGGTTGAATTCATGAGTCGATCTATGCTAGACCACCACTGAAAACCTGGAAGCACTGGACGACCGTTTCGCCTTAGTATGGGACTCGGCAGTGCTCAGCAACAATTCCGCACGCGGGACTCGGGCCCAGAACCATCGGTCTCTCGCGAGAACGTTTAACCTCTAGACCAGCTATCCTGGCCCTAATATTTCCTACCACTTCTGTTACTGTTACTATTTCTGCCTATTTGTCATTCGTCGCAATAATTGTATGTTGTGGCAACTTGAACCAATGTGCGCATATATACCATGCTCTATGTTGCCTATAACCTACTGATTGATTTAAATGAATCTAAAATGATTTGGATTGTCCTGTTGCTGATATCATTTTACTGGGATTTTATCGGTCTTCCATCTATTCTATATCATCTTGTGTCATAACCGCTATACAGAGACAATCTGCAAGGAATCCCCACATGCCAAACAAAACTAATCGAATTTTCAGTCAAGTGAATGGATATCTGGACTCAGTGGCTAAGTGAATAACGCAATGATTTCTGAAGCGAATGGTACTAAGTCCGAGTTTCGTAGTGAAAATCAACTCTAGGATTCAGGCACATCCAGCTAATGAGTTCCAATTAGAACGAAACTCACATCCTGGATCCCACTGCTAGTTACATACCATCTGTTCTATGGTAACTGGTTGATTCCTTTGTTTAGAAATTCTTGTTAGAGGCCACGCGTATACAACCTCTGCCAGGGAAGTCCTACTCATTGCCTTCTCATGGCGGGGGTGTTGTTTACCAAAATGAGAGGACGAAAAGCGAATGTCCGGCGCTTTAACCGGATCCCAAACCAATGGTGCACATGGGCTCCAGTATCCTGAAAGAACAAATGGCGTATGAACCAATCGTTGGTCACCGGCTACCATGGGATTGCATCTCCTTACGATGCTCCACTGCCTTGTGGGTTAGACCTTTAGGTCAAAGGCTCGAGGTGTGGCCCCCTAAGATAACCACCTGCTTCGGTTTGGGCACCCGGGCAGTATCACAGCCCACACACAAATGACGAACTCTTTATGTCTATGGAAATTATTTTTCTCGCTTCGAAAAACAATCAATTGATTCAAATTATTATCATTACAATTATTGTCATTATTAATACTATTATTATTATTACCATTATTGTCATTATTATTATTATTATTATTATTATTATTATTATTATTATTATTTCCCACATTATTCACCCTCTTTTATACTTATACAGCGGGTCGTCTTTGGTGGAAATCCGACTGTATCTAAACGTTCTCGAGTCACTGTCCGGTTGAAAGTTGTATGTTACCATCGAATATGAGTACTGAAGCAGTTTTTCTGAAACCACGTGCGCCATTCAAACTGGCTGCCTTCAACGTTCGCACACTTATGCAGGTTGTTCAACAGATAGGGCTGGCTATGTCTTTGGAAAGTCTTCATATCGATGTTTGTTGTCTATCCGAGACCCGTATTCAAGACTCTAGCGAAGTACTACAAATTCGATCTCCATCTGTCGCTTCGAAAAGCTTGTTTTACGTGCGCTTATCCGGGGACCCTGTGGCATCTTCGTCTGGTCTTGCAGGCGTTGGTGTCGCACTAAGCGCTAGAGCTGAGGCAGCACTAGTCGATTGGATCCCCATTAACAGTCGGTTATGTGCTGTTAGATTAGAAAGTTCCATCAAAGTGAGAAGAAATCGGCGTGAGAAACGATGTTTTTTCGTCATCTCCGCCTATGTCCCGACAGATTGCAGCCCGGATGCAATCAAGGATGAGTTTTGCCACCAGTTATCTGTTCTTGTCCAGAAAGTGCGTTCGACAGATATTGTAGTACTAGCCGGAGACTTGGATGCTCAGGTCGGACGTCTACGCACAGAAGAGTCGTTTAGGTGGCCGATGGGGACTCGTTGGTCGCAGGTCAGATAACGGGGAACGTCTACTGCAACTGTGCACAGACCACAACCTGTTTCTGGCTAGCACTAACTTTCGACACAGTCATCGCCGATGTGCCACCTGGCGTCCTCCCTCTGCATCTCAAGCCTGGACTCAGATTGATCACATCGCGATCAGCTACCGCTGGCGTGGTTGTGTACAAGACTGCGGCTCCTTTTGGAGTACCTATCTGGACTCTGACCATGCCTTGGTCTGCGCCAATCTTGCCTTACTTTTCAGTGGCCAACGAAGTGACCACCAAAAGATTGATGTTAGCAAGCTGGTTGCAACTTCTGTTGCAAGTAAGTATCGAACCGAGCTAGCCTCTAGGCTAGCTACCATACCACCGAAAAGTATAGATGAGCATTGGTTGCAATTGCATGACGCCATGAAAATGGCGGGAACGGTCAGTTGTGGGTTTGCGAAACGTCCCGCTTTTAAGCACTGGGTTTCTTCTGGTTCCTTACAACTCATTGAAGCCCGTCGGTCTACTCCGGGTGACCGTGAGTTTGACTATAAACGAAGGATGTTACGTAAGGAAATCGGGCAAAGCTTGCGTAAGGACCGAGAAGCCTGCTGGTCGAAGCGTGCTAATGAGCTGGAAGCAGCAGCTGCATCTGGTAACTACCGGAAGCTCTTCCAGCTCATCCGAGCCACTGGCAGCAAGAAGTCTGGTGTGAGTGAAACAATCTGCGAGGATGATGGGATGCCACTCACTAACATCCATCGACGTCTTGGACGGTGGGCAGAATTTTTCGAAGGGCAGTTCAACTGGCCTGCTGCTCCGGCAACATCGGTCAGACTGTTCTGCCCTCCATGGCCGGTGACGACTGATCCACCAAACGAGGAGGAAGTCCGCAAGGAACTCCAACTCTTGAAGCGTTACAAATCACCTGGCCCAGATGACTTACCTCCGGCTCCTTTTACAGATGGTGGTGACTTTTTGACTAAGGAATTGACGACGTTGTTTACAAAGGTTTGGGAACTAGAGAGTGTACCAACGTCATGGAATGAGTCGATAGTTGTCCCTATCTTTAAAAAGGGTTCACGTTGTTCCTGTAACAACTATCGGGGGATAAGTCTACTTCCGATTGCGTCCAAGCTATTGGCTTCCGTCATTCTTCGTAGGTTGTTCAAAACTGAGAAAGATTGACTCGCGAGGAGCAGGCTGGGTTTCGTTCTGGTCGAGGATGTATTGATCATATCTTCACCCTCCGCCAAATGTTAGAACACCGCCATACTTATCAAAGGCCAACAATCGTAGTGTTTCTTGACATCTGGGCTGCCTTCGATTCGTTGGACAGGGCTGTTCTCTGGGATTGTCTATCGAAGAAGGGTGTGCCTGAGAAGTTTACTAACATCCTAAAAGCCCTATATAAAAACACCTCAGGTAGAGTGAGGGCATACAACCACCTTTCTCCATTGTTCCATTCGAGCAGTGGGGTTAGGCAGGGTTGCCTAATCTCACCATTCCTCTTCAACTTTGCCATCGATGACATTCTGGATACAGCTCTGATGAATGTAAGTAATGGTGGTGTGGATCTGTCGCCTGGAGAAAGACTTCTCGACCTTGAGTATGCTGATGATATTATCTTACTGTGCGATAATGCCCAAGGCATGCAATCCGCACTTAATCAGTTGGCAATCAGTGTCCGTAGGTATGGTATGTGCTTTGCACCTTCGAAGTGCAAAGTACTTCTACAAGACTGGCAGGATTCCAATCCTGTACTCACCCTAGACGGTGAACAGATAGAAGTAGTCGAGAAGTTCGTGTATCTGGGTAGCTGCATAAGTGCTGGTGGGGATGTGAGTGATGAGATCAATGCACGAATAGTGAAAGCCAGAGCGGCTTATGCCAATCTGGGTCACCTTTGGCGCCTTCGTGATGTTAGTCTGGCTGTAAAAGGTCGGATCTACAACGCGTCGGTGAGAGCAGTTCTGCTCTATACTTGTGAAACCTGGTCTCTCCGAGTTGAGGACGTTAGACGACTCTCTGTGTTCGATCATCGCTGTCTCCGAAGGATTGCTGACATTCAGTGGCAACACCATGTCAGTAATGCAGAGGTTCGGCATCGTGTGTTCGGGCACAGAGATGATAATTCAATTGGTGTCACCATCTTGAAACACCGCCTTCGGTGGCTTAGACATGTTCTACGAATGTCGTCCCAGAGAATTCCACGTCGTGCATTATTTGCCGACTCTGGGACTGGTTGGAAGAAGCGGAGAGGTGGTCAGTGCATGACATGGTGTCGTGGTATGAAAGAAAGCTGCAAAGGACTGGCTTCTGTCGGTCCTTCACAACTCCCTGGTTGGGGTCTGAGAG